AAGTGTCCATGTTAAGGTGATGTAACAAGATGTAATAAAGTCAGTTATATAATGTAGAAGATTATAACTCAAGTTTTTTTTAGATATAAGAACATATTTTGCATAATTTTAAGATATATGATTATCACTTGTAAGGCTATAGATATTTGCTGAAGTGCTACATGCTGTAACTTTGCAGGTGTTGTCAGCAGACAGTCTACTGAATAATTAGTATTTATATCATTTATGTATATTGAAATTATGTATGCATTGGGAAAAAACCATTTAGGTAAATGTAATGTTTTTTAAGGGCAAGGTAAATTTATTTGAAGGATATGCATTCAGACAAAGAAAAACAAATCCTATATATTTTTGTACCTCTGAAATCACCTGTGGTCTGTTATGTTGGCTGGTTTTTAAGGATGATTGATGTGGCATTACCTGCTGTATTGTATGTAATAAGAAGCCCTAGTTTACAAGGTGTGCGTACTGCACTGACTATACAGACAGACAAGATTGAATCTCTCCGACAACATCAGGGCTACTTTACTGTATGACTGTAGGCTGTACAAATGATTGTTGATGGAATCTAGATGTCACTATTGATGTTTGTAACCCCACAAGGTTAGCATTTTATGTTGTTATTCAGGATGGAGTCTAAATTCTCTACTCATTCCCACATCTGACTCTACAGCTCTCTGCTGCCAGAGGAAATGCTGCTTTTCCAATAATTGCCCTCAAGCTATATTTGATACACCGAGGAATTATTGTGGAAGGTCTGTTGTCTTTTGATACAGTAGGTCGAGCCCAAAATGACAGTAATGAATTGTTTTTATAGCACAGGATATATCTGTTTATAGCACACTGAGATTACAATGTATAGATGTAGAAAAATAATGAACTTGTAATTACTTTCAGTTTTAATTGGAGACATTTATTTTGGTTGCTACAGGAGGATTATCATTAGTTATCTTTTATTTGGCTTTCATCCAAATTCTTAATCTGATGTAGGCTGTAAGTTACAGTATGTGAAAGAGAATTACTGTACTGCCATTATTGCTTACAGGAAACTTTTCCACATGCAGCCAATTTTGTGACGTGTACATGTAAGTTAAGTAAAACTTTGGTAAATTAAGAGTTTAAACTTAAAACATAGAAACGGTAAACCCACATTTGTTTGATTATCAAAACAATTACAAGTGAAAAAGAAAAGATCATTGTTGATTTAGCTTGAATTAATTTATAATTAAATTATAAAACCATATAAGCCAAGAATGTTCATAGTAATAGATCAGTCATCCCTGACTTTAACATATTCAATCATTTCTTGTAACAGCTGATTTTAGGAGAGCATGGTCAAAATCAATTTCCTTGTAGAACCTGGATATTAAGGACAGAAAAACTAGAATTGGTTTTCAGCCTAATTGTCACATTAAACTAGATATCTAATATGGCCACCATCTATATCAGATATGAAGTAGGAGTAATACAGGTCTTGCTGGCCTCAAATTCATTTTCACATATTTAAAGGGTCGTATACCTGTGTCCTTGTGATTGAAACAAGAATTTTCCTTAAAAAATATACGAAAAAATGCCAGTCAAAACTTTCAAAAGACTTGCTACGAGTTGCTATCTGTGTTAATGTTACATACCTGGTAGTAGTAATTGAGGACAGGCAAATCCATTTTATTAGTCTGGGTTAAAACTCTGCTGGAATGAAACTAATAACATGTTCACTGAAGTGTTTCTCTGATCAACACCTGTCCATGCTGTGTACTGAAGTCTTGATCAATAGTAATCTATAGCTACAGAAACTAGCTGGTCATTTTCTGTAGTTTGGAGATCTTGATGATCAGGAGGTATTGATCATCTATAGTACATCTCATCTCTTCTACTTTCTGCTGGGAATTCTTCTCATGATTTGTGAGAGTGTAAAAACTATATAAATAACTCCTTGAACAAATTCAAGGTACTGCTTTGAACATGAGATAGAGTCCTGAATACATGGCAATTTCATTCAGTTATCTCCTTTGTTAGTGTCTAATACAGGGTTTATACGTAGGAATGTATACACTTGTGGTTTTTTTATTTTGGGAATATAAATGAGTGGCAGGGCATTTAAATGTGTGATTTGTTTTGTGATTAAAATCTACAGGAACCATTGGAGAGGGCAATCTGAGAGAAAACCCAATACTGGTACAAGGCATCCTGAGTAAATCTGAATTGAAGGAGATTAAAATCTTTCCAATATTCATGTATGCAAAATTGATTAAAGTGTCATTGGTTGTAGCATCTTGTAGGAAAATTGTTTTAGTTTGTAATTCCATTCGTCAATGTCAGATGTTTTATGTTTCTTTACATGGAGGAAGTTGAGATGGAATTGGCTTGTCGCCATAGCAAAATGGAGCCCATGGGTGGGTTTCTGTCGGGCATGATCAGTCATCAAATCATGAAATGTTTGCACTTTTTGTTCGTGAAAAGGATGTATTTTTATTTATTGAAAACTGAAATGGTGAAATCAAATCGTGCTTCCTTTTTAAAATAATTTGAAAATTGGTTATTTTGCTTTACTCGGAACATATTACAGTTTTGAAATGTCTGGTGAAAGTTATTGGGAGTTTTCAATAAGATATCAAATTTGCATTTGATTGAATAGGAGAAAATTGAGTATACTTGTATGGCCAGATTGAATCTCAGCAGAAAAGAGAGATATCCTTTTTCTGCATTGTATACTTTTACATTATAATTTAATCATGAAGTGAGAGAAAAACAGTAGTTCTGAACTACTGTCATGACCAATTAAGTTGATCATAGACTGGTGTCTTTTGTAGGATTTCTTGCTACACCAGATATAGGTGTATTACATATTTCATTTCCATGAACCAGATCTAATCAGGATATAATACTCCTACTATGAAGTACAGACTTACTTTTAGGTCATCTGACCCGAAGGATCATATTTTGTCCATTATTGTGTGCTGTCTGCAATCTTCTCCATAACCATAAGGCCCAAGATACTGATATTGGGCCTGTAGCGTAATGGGATGAATGGCTACCAATTTTGTTGAAATGAATGACCTTGACTTACTTTCAAGGTAACAGGTGTCAAATATATCAAAATCTTTACATGACTTCTTTTCAATAACCATGAGGCCTTCTGTGCTGAAATTGGGCCTGTGGGATGAAGGGTTACCAATTTTGTTCATGTGATTGACCTTTTCTCATTTTAAAGGTCACATGGGTCAAATGTGTTAAAATCTTCAAACAACTTCTCAATAACAAAAAGGTCCAGGTTGTTGATATTTGTTCTTTAATATAAGTGGATGAAGGACTACTGATTTGTTAAAATAATTTACCTTGACCTATATTCAAGATCTGTTGGGTTAAGTGAGTCGAGATCTTAAAATTTCTTTTCAATGAGCAAGAGGTTCAAAGTAATGACATTTGTGTAGTAGCAGGTATAAAGAAGTTAGCAGAAAATTTTTTTATGAACCAACAATGTCTTTGTAAGCTTGAAAGTAGTTGAGCAATTTATTTAAAGCCTATGTGACCTCTTTCATATATAGGACTTTATAGTCAGGTGACCGTTAAGACCTGTGTGTCTCTTGTTCCATTGTCTATTCTATTTTTGTGTGGTATTTTAAACAAATTTCGTTTGTTATCAAATCAAGAAAGGATGTTGAATAGGAATACTTTACTCTTGAACTTTAAAAAAACATTTTGCAAATCACAAAACTATAATAATTTGATATGAGGGAAGAGTTACTAATTATATCCTAGCTAAGTGATTATGCTGACAGAGATCGAAGTGTGACAGCTAATGTATTCTGCATGGTTGTGTCATCTTTTCCGTCTCTATATAATGAAATATCTCCCTAGCTCAGATTACCCAGTGACATCCTACTTCAGTATGGCAAAGCACCAACACTGATCAGGTGTACACATGTACACACAAAAAAATCTGGTTCGGAATTTATTTACATTAAATTATGGAAAGCCTTTTAACTTAAACTGTGTATGGGGTTGATATATCACTTTTATATAAATAATATATATAGACACACCTTTTTTCATATATATATATATATATAAAAGTAACTTTTTTCACAGTTTGGAATTAGATAATGCTAAATACTCCTTTGTAAAGCTATATATATTCTAGATAAGAAAGGATGTGGAATGTGTAATTAGCCAGTAAAATGAGTTGATTATAAAATAACGAACAGGTGTAAACAAGACAGTACTGATCACAAATACATGTCATATAGTCATCTTTAGTTTATAGTGAGATGTGCATGATATTAAAACACATGTGATGCAGATTATAAATAAACAGTTTTTTCACATGGTAAATTCATATTTTACATGTGTGATAGTATGGTTGTATAGTGTTTGATGATCATGTTTGATGAAAACTGAAACTAGTTTGTTCACATCCTATTATACACACACACATGCCAGGATTTAAACATTTCAGCTACACAGAAACCTAGGATTTTACATCAGTGTTAATCTTGTTGTGGCATTTGTGAATTATTGATTAAGTACAAATGATGTGGTTATGCGTGCTCCTAAAGCTTACAATCTGCTAACAGCATTTGTGTTACTGGTTCAGTTACAAGTGCATGATCAATCCACTTTACAGACTGAGTACAAGTAGTAGATACAAAATCATTGAATTTATTTAGTGTAAGATATTACCTGTTACCAAATGTTGTTCCAACATTAAATATTATTACCGATGTCTACATAAATGTATATCATGTATGCAGATAGTGGTCTGATAAACCCGCAGTGTGGCTAGCTACATTTGCATATGAACAGACAGGAATACTTTTTTTACCAACTAAAATTGTTATATGTATAATAAAGAATAGTAAAGCGATCAATAACTTGGCTTTCTTCAGAGATGAACATGTCTTCATGGCTGTATAAGATGATATGTCTGTGTTAGCGGTAATGACAAAGAAAGGCTGTCAGGGTGGGAGAGCTTGTATTGTAGCTGTGTATTTATCTTGTAGGTTAATGATGAAGATTTGTGGGAACAGATCCAGGGAGACTTCCACATACCCAAATGCTGCAGTAATGGAACCCAAGCCATTAAACAAATCTACATCAGGTTAGTGAGGTTTTATTATCAACTATTTATACATACAATAATGTACTTGTTAGAAATTTTTTAAATCTCTAGATCTGATAATGTGTTTAAAGAAATTTGATATTGCAAGAGCATTGTATGTGGGTACCAGAGTATCTATCAGAATTTCATTTTACGTAATCATCTGAAAGACAAGAAATTGAAGGTGTAGCTAGATTAGATAAATCCCAGGTTGTCTCTTATAAATTTTCCCAATGTCTGGCTATGTCCCAATACAGCTGCAAAATCTTTTTATGTGAGTATGCGTGAAATGAGTAGGTGTGGTGGTATTTTTTTTATATTTATTTTCTCCATGTTTATCTGGTTTTCTGGGTAAAGCAAGTAAGAAATAATAATATTGCTTATAAGTCTTCTTATGACAAGAAATGGCTTTATGTTTATAAATTTATCATTATGTGAACAAAAAGAATGTTTTTGCTATATACATAATGCATTATTCTTAATCATCCGTACTACAAGATTATAAATTGTCTTCAGGATTTTAATTATCTGTGTTTAAAGGTACAGGCAGTCAGCTGTTGGTAGAAAATATATGTATATGTTGTAAGATTTAAACACATGCCTCTCTAATAAAAGTTGAGTCTAGGATGGAAGTAAACCTACAGGGATATCGTATGTGCTGAAGCATGTTGATTGATTAAGTGGCGAGGCCTTATAGCAGGGCACGTTTTGTGTGGAGGAAGTGCCCAACTCTTCAGACTTCACAAAACCTTTTAACATTGATTTTACTATCATCAAAGCAGTACATGGTGGCAGGTCCAGTTAACTTTATTTATATATTTAGTTTACATGTACATGCAAGAATTTCTATCAGGCAAGGCCTAGCCAGTGTGTTTAATGGCTCTTTCTCACATTTCTCTGCCTATCAGCAAATTGTCTGAAATTTAATGTTATCATGGAAATCGCACTAACTGCAGATGAAAGAGTAGTCTTGTCTAGATCTATCAAAATTTCCTGTGACTAATTAAACTACACATGTACTAAAGTATGTTAATGATGGTGTATATATGAATACAGGAATATAAATAAGAGTGACTAAAATTGATCAAATATAAAGATAAATAAAAGAAGCAAAGTTTAATAGATATTTGTGATATTGATTATGAAATTGGATACATTCCTTATTAAAGACTAACAGTCAGATATTGAGAAAAGAAAGACTTTATTAGTGTTTTAAATCTGAAAATAACAAAATCCATCAGTGCATAGTTGTAAATGTTTGTATGTTTGGCCTATAGTCTACATGTGTAAATACAGTGGTATATACAGGTGTATATGCCTGTTTTCATATTCTTTTCTACTGTTGTGTTATTTAAGTACAGCTGTATTAATTGCCAGCATTCACTGAGATAAAACAGACCACACAGTTGTCTTTCACACCTTTCTTGACTTTTATCACATGTGCTCACTTTCTTGTATACTTTTGATTACTGTTATAGATATTTGTCCGCAATGTGGTCCTGAACTAAATATCTATCTTTGATGAAGTAAATTTTAGTACATAACTTTGTAAGGAAGAGTTTTTAAAGAGGAAAACATTTGTTACATAGACATCTGGACAAATATGAGAAGGTACATTTCCATGGACAAGACCCAGACAGCAAGTATGTGGAGGATGAAGGCGATACTCCAGCCCGTAAAAAGATCTGCCTGCCTATTTATGGTATCCCTAGCTCGTACAACTACAGCCAACACAGGGTACCAGGTAGGTGGACCGGGGTCGCAGGTCAAAGAAAACCATTAGTATTTTGTGTTATATATGTAAAATGTATTCTTTCGTTATAGTAATAAATTATATCAATTTTTTTTCTTCAGAAAACGAAATTGTCATCAGAAAAAAGTCAGAACTAATTGTACTCTTCATAGCTCTTACAGCTAAAGGAAGCTGGAAAATTAAGTATCAAACAGTGTTACTGCTTTATGAATAAGTTATTATAGAAGTCAGATTGAGTAAAATACTGAAGATAAAAAAGTATTACATTATTTTGTTTTTATTCATTTTTTTTTTTTCATTTAAATTACAGAAACTCTTCGCCAATCACATGGGTTTTCAACAGATTACGTCAAAATTAGTGATTATGAAAAATTGGAAAAAGCACTTATGTCGGGCCTTCCAAACGAGGTTGACTTTGTCATCAATGTGTGTACTCTATTATCCAATGAGGGCAAACATGTGTTACGATTGAAAAAATCCCGCCATCTTCTCAACCTTCTAATGGCTCATATAGGCATATTTGTACCAGGTGAGTACAGCCATACAGGATACGGCAAGTTTACTGTTTATTGACAAGGATAAATTATCTAATATGTCTAGTATTGTAATGCATATGCAAGCTTCAAGAACTTTCTTGTGATTGAATGATATTTAGTTATGTTTGCCCTTGGCTTACACTAAAAATTGCTCATTAATTTGTGAAATAAGACTCAAATCTTGTGCTGTTTATAAAGTTCTTTGTTATAGCCATTATTTCTCTTTTATTCAGGGAGCGAAACTTTAGAAGATGTGTATGAATCCAACTGGACAAAATATTTGCATAGAGATTTTATACATGTGAGTTTTATTTAAAGAAAATTTACAGTTAGGTCTGTCATGTCTGTCAGGTCTGTGATCTTGGATCGTCTATGGAGGAATAATATTAGCTCTGTACTAAATGTCAAATATGTAAGGTTCAGATCTTGCTTGTCAGTTGGAAGTTTAAAGTTTTGTATATTGAAGAAACATGTTTTCCTAGGCTGTCAATTTACAAATGGCATCTGTTGAAAGCTAAAAGATATGATTGCTGCAGTTTAATTTCCTTTTTTACAAAAAAAAAAAATAATAAAATCTTTTACAAAGAATTTCTGTGTTAAAGTTAAGATACTGAAGATGCAAGTGTAGCTACTAAAGATGGAAGTTTAGATACTGAAGAATTATCTGTGATCTCATATTGAAACTTGATTTAGGTGAAAATATTATGTGTTGATATGATTTTCATTAAAAAGTTTTTAGATCTTACTCATCTTTCATGGTTTTCTTATTGATGTATTTCACATTTTCCTTTTTTTTCAGTTTTGGTATGATACAGTCAAAGATTCAGAAGCTAAGAAATTGATTATAACCTCACGGAATTATAATAGAAGTAAGTTACCATAGCAACCTTGCTGTGAGTGATGTTAATGGTTGTCTCGCAAGGAGTTGACATTTACTGTTATAATGGGAAGTACATTAACTTGCTTTATACATCAAACTTTCTGTGTGCAGAAAAAGACTTGCTCATATAAATAGAATATTAGATTATGATTCTCTAATGATTATTGCAGTGGATCCTCATTAGTTTGGATAATGGTGATTAGTAAATAAGAATACACTGTAACCAGTTTTACTGAGTTTATGTTCTCATCTACTTGAATTTTTAACTCATTTGTTAGGGACTACTAACTGTTTGTCGTTCATCATGGTTGGAGAAATACTTTATTGAATTGCCAAATGTTGTGTGCATATGCATTAAGTATGGTGGAGTGTCACAGGCTTATTTTGGATCTTGAGTCCCAAGACCCATCAGACTTCATATGTGCACATGCCCGTACCTGCTATGCTACTAGTATATGGTGTACTGGTATCTGAGGCCAATATTGTGGGCTAGACTTAGGTTTAGCACTATTGGATTTCTTGCTGGACTTTGCATCTAATTTAATTCCATCAAAATGGGAGAAAGCGTTTTCCAGACATAATAAAGCGCATTTCATGTAGCTGTTTCTAAGTAGATAATGAATTCTGTCAAGTTTGGACACTTTGCTTACCTGATGAACTCTCTTGGCATAGATAATATAATGGTCAAATAGCATGGTGGTTTCTATCATAACCAGTTCTTTTATAGCTTCTTTTGCATAAGCAGATTGTGATATATTGATATGCCTCAATTGTGTTTAATTTTTTACTTTTATTTCATTTTAGAATCCTTAATAGGTGAAGAGATACTAAATCTGGGTCGTGACATGGGCAGACATGACTTGGAGGGACAAAGAGTGCTACAGGTACAAAAACAGTGTGACATGAATCTTTCAATGTCTCCTATCATTTATTAGAAGACAAAGGGATGCTCTTTCATTATGCATTAAGTTGTACAGGATATTGATGTTATATTTTACTTGTAAGGGAGACATAGTGTTATCCTAGTCAAAGTCACTGTGACTATTACCATTAGGTTGTACAGGATATTGATGTTATATTTTACTTGTAAGGGAGACATAGTGTTATCCTTGTCAAAGTCACTGTGACTATTACCATTAGGTTGTACGGGATATTGATGTTATATTTTACTTGTAAGGGAGACATAGTATTATCCTTGTCAAAGTCACTGTGACTATTACCATTAGGTTGTACAGGATATTGATGTTACATTTTACTTGTAAGGGAGACATAGTATTATCCTTGTCAAAGTCACTGTGACTATTACCATTAGGTTGTACAGGATATTGATGTTATATTTTACTTGTAAGGGAGACATAGTATTATCCTTGTCAAAGTCACTGTGACTATTACCATTAGGTTGTACAGGATATTGATGTTATATTTTACTTGTAAGGGAGACATAGTATTATCCTTGTCAAAGTCACTGTGACTATTACCATTAGGTTGTACAGGATATTGATGTTATATTTTACTTGTAAGGGAGACATAGTATTATCCTTGTCAAAGTCACTGTGACTATTACCATTAGGTTGTACAGGATATTGATTTTATATTTCATTTTAACAAAGGTAGTTTACTATTTTGACCTGGCTGATTTGCTAATATTCTTTGAATACTGTGAGTGTGCTATTAAAGTGCTCCATTCTTAATTCCCTCATTTCTCCTCCTCATTTTCCAAGGTCATATGTTGCATCTGTCTTTCATTTGTCTTTCAGCTGGCTGTCATTCTGAGAAATTTATCTTTTGAGGAAGAAAATGCCACTTTTATGTCTTCAAATGATCTAGTCTTCAGGTGAATATGATCATGATTATTTGCTTTCAAGTTAAAAGCTGACTGTAGATATAAGTATGATCTAAACCTTTGTGGTATATTTAACAGAAGTTTATATTTACACTAATAGAAAATCTGTATCTTTGAATTTAAAATTACTTGAAATTTTTCTGTCATAGAATTGAAAAAAATGAAAATGTTGTATATTTTCTTTAAATAGTAATTATGAAATAAAATGATCAATTGTTACTTGTAAGTAAGAATATAAAAAAATATATAACAAAAAACACTACTTTTAGATATTGTTTGAAGAATTGAGTGATCTTTTAACATTCTATTAGTACATATTTTTAGACACCATTCACTTTCTGCTTGAGATAAACACTGTAGGTTTTGTAGAAATGTAATTGTTTGTTTCAACCTTTTGTTGACTTTGTTCCAGATTTCTGATGTTATGTATACACAGTAGCTATGGATGTTTGCGACCGTTGGCACTGGATACTCTCGGGAATCTGGCAGAAAAGGTAACTCGACAACAAAGTGTGATTCACTGGGTTTTTTGTCTTGAATAAATAACTAATGCACCTGGCACCATATCCCACCTCAAAACTATAATGAATTGAATAATGATTTGAACAATTAGTATTTTCACATTTGTCAAATCTATTAGTATCAAAGCAATCAAACTTTGTAATTTTTATCTGCTAAATCTGTTCACGTAAAACGGTAAAAATTACATTTGTATATTTTAAAGCAAAGTTGTTACTGAAGATAAAAGTTTCCAGTTCAGATGCCTTGGTCAGAGGGGTTACATTGGCCTTAAACATTTTGTCGAAGAAGAATCTAAATCCATTATCTATCACGGAATAGATTTATTGTTTTGGTAGCCGTTTCATTACTGTTGCTAATTAGGATTTGTGTACCTTACAGATGGTGCTGATCCCAGACAAGGAACAAACAGACATGGTGCTAAATCTGATCTGTAGATGTTTGTCTGCTGAGGATAAGCTGGATGTTGTCAGAGGTTATTATAAGATTATTACCACAGTCCCATTGTACATTAAATAGAGGCTTTATGGCCAGTCTCAAGACACTAAATATGTTTAACCAACCTTAAAGGAAATCTGGAAATCACATAAGTCTGCTTGAATGGCACTCACTTGGCACCAACTAGTTGACCTGCTAGGAGAGATTGATCTTTCAGAATAATCCTTAAGAAATTAATATTGACTGGCTTCTGACATATGCTGAGGCATCTCATTTTGATAGGATGGGTGTTGTCTTTTTAAGTATGGTTAAAGATGGCAGTTTATTGTTCTCAAAATAAACATTGATCATTTATTGCATTTTTAATTATTGGGTGATATTCTAGGAAAGTTGATTTTCAGAAATTTTAGGTAACATACAAATACACCAGTTACTAAAAGGCTGTCAAATTAGTCAGTTAATGTTTTGTTGCCACACCACCTAGCATCAACCAACTAGGATGACCAAGATGGACAGTGGCTATAAAAAGCTCTCTGCAAGCTAGTTAGAAAAGTTATAAGAGTTTATATCTATCCCCTATTACTCCTTCAGTAGTTCATCATTAACAAACAACATGTATCCCTATACAGGTCTGGAGATCTTGAGTAAATTGTGTATGAAAGATGAAAACGATGTGATACTGGAAGAGCGCCTGGATGATCGTATCTATGAGGATGTGATTCGCCTTCTGGGAGTGTATGACATCCAGATCATTGTTCATAGTCTGGAAGCTCTATACCAATTATCTGAGATCGGTGAACACTCCGCTACCAAGATTGCTGCTGTCAAAAGAGCTGTTGGTATGTACACATGGCTAAGTGTTAAAGTGACATTGTCATATTGATATCTTTAGCAGGGACACAAAGATGTGTTGAAAGTGGAAACTGTTAACTTGTAAATTTAATTATTTTTAGTTGAGTTCTATTATAGTATAAAAGTTCTTTCTTTATGTTTCTTCTGAAATAACTTGTTAAGTTTAGTATGGTTTTATTTGCTGTAGATTTCTTGGTGACGCTGCTGACAATAGAAGCACAAGCATATGGACCCAATTCCTTAGTGGGAATCAAGGTTGTGGAATACTGTCCCCCTCCCCAACCTTCGGGGGATCAGCCTGCCCCAGCCAATTCACAACCCATGCTTCCTTCACAAAGTAAGTTCTATTCATTTGAAGCTTTTGGTAGAATATTCTTAATAATTACTTGAAAGAGCTATATCTTAATATTCGAGTATACAAAGTATAAACATTTACTATAAAGTGATGGAGGCATTTGCCTTGTTCTTGTTGTTATATTTGCAGTGTTCTGTACATGAGTATCAAGGTAATGACAATTAATTTTGATCAGGGTCTCTCGTTAATGAATTAAATTTGTCATAAAGTCATGAGCCAAAAAAATGTTAATTTGCATTTTCACACTTTTTTAATGTTGTACTTGTAGAAAATGCTCCTCAAGGTGCAGCATTGAAACAAAATGTACCAGCTACCTGTGATGTCGAGTCGACAACATGCAATTGGTGAGTAGATTTTAGTAGACGTCTATAGTTTGATAATGATCTAAAGACTTTCCTGATTCTTAATAATTTCATGAAGATAATACTTTTTAATGTGGGAAAGAAGTCTGATTTTTACTACAAAAGTAAGTGCTTTGTAGCAGATAACTTAATTACAACAGTGTAACCTTTAACTGATACTTTAATGTTTTCACATAAAATTCAATCTCTTTCAGGTTACAAAGTGCATTTGAAGTAAAAGACAGCGGTGATTCCCTGTCACAACTTCATCTCTACGCAGAATATATCACCTTCTCCAAGAAGTACACTCTGCCACAGCTCTTACCAGCCCAGGCTTTCCTCAACTGTGTTAAGTATGTTCACTTCCAAGGGCCTGGCAAAAACTTTCAAAAGCAATCCTGTGACTAGTGGGCGGGTTAAGAGTACTTGTCTTGAGAAAGAATTCACTTATCTGCAAAATTTGCATCAGAAATTTACGAAACCATGCATAGAGTGCTCACATATTGTGTATCAGGCTTTAATTAAATCAAGTCCAGTTATGAATCAGTTGTTATCTAATGAATGTTTTACTAAAACTATTACCAACATTAAGTTCACACAACTGGACATGATTTGGTGTTAACATTGCTGAGTAGGTTATCTTTTGGGACAAATGGTGGTATGTTTTTCTAAGAATCTATAGAAAATATAACTTTAACATATGGTAATATTTGCTCAAGATAAATTTGTTTACTGTTTTGTTGGGTTTATCATGGTATAAGGTTAAAACTTTCTTTCAGTTTCAAAATAGTTTGGTTTTAGTTAACTTTTCAGGTGGAAGTAGATATCAAGATTCAGTATTCAAAATATGCTTATTAGACAAAACTGATGTTAAAAGATTGTGATATTGTAAAATTGTGTTCCTAAAGATTCAGATAGTATATTGTGATTTTGTTTTGTAGAATTGTGTTCCCAAAGATTGAGATGGTAACAGTTGGTAAGGAGGATGGATCACAGGAGATTGTGTACAAAGGTCTTGTCAAGAAACTCAATCCTCCACCATTTGCTGTTCACTGTTCAGGTATGTATCTGAAATAATGGTTTCTTAAGTTTCAATACTATCAAATGATTAAATGAATTATCTCAATATTATCAATTAATTAAAGCTTTATTGGAATTTTGTGAATACAGAAAATTTACATTAGTATTGATTTCACACTTTTTTCTCTTCAATTTATTTGAAAATTTTTCTCTGTAAACTGCTTTATTCTACAAATCCAGTGACTTTTGACTTGTATCTTTTGCCTATTGATAACTCCCCTGACATTTGACAGAATGTGATTTTTACATGCGACTATCTTGGAAAGGCAATTTTGACTGTACACAGTGCACATTCAGTGTTTGCATGGCATTTTGGTTATTAAAATTAACACATAGTGTTGTGACTAGATGTTCTAGAGTGTATACATTATTTTCCTGAATTTTTTCAAGATTTGAGTAGATATACATTGATTCGGATAAAAAATGTTCAATTTTCTGACCGAGATACTTTGAGAGTTTTATATAAATTATCCTTAAAAACTCAGCGTAGACAACAAATAGGGGCAATATCAATGTTCCATTTTTTACTGAGTTAGTATATGATAAACACCATCATGAAATACCTAGATATTTGGTTGAAAGTTAAATAATATACTTTTTTAATATTTGCTTAGTTTGATCACATCTGGGATGTTGTTATTTCCTATAAGGTGATGATATTTATGAACTTCAGAATTTCAATTCGTTTAATCAAAATATTGTGCATCAATATATTTTGTTGATGCTGTTATTTCAAAATGATGTTTTGTAATCATTGTTCTTGATAATTTCTCAAAATTTGAAAATTTGTCATACTTAGGCTATTATCCTTACTAACAGGATTGGGAATCATTACTGTAAACCTTTTTCTGTACACATTAAACATAGCAGAAATATATTTCTCATTATAGAATTCTTCAGTGCCACGTAGAAAGTGTTTGTGTCACATTCCCTTACTAGAGTATAACACGCAACCTATTACTAACATCATTGATTGTTCTTGCTATTACTTTCATAGGAAGGCTATCATACAAAAAACTTAACACCCTCTATCATCTTTACTTGTAATACACTTTATCTGGTTTAAGCAGCACAAGAAAAATGTCAGTTTTCATGCATGATGACTATCATTATTCTTTAAAATGTTTGTATTGCCTCCCTTGACCTGAGTGCACTGCATCAGTTTAACCTGAGCTATTAGATTGATGAGATATAAAATTATCAAAGTTTTCTTCCTATAGTGCTGAATGGCAGGACCAAGTGAAGTGGGAGGGGTGGGGAGGGGGTTGGTTATTATGATGTTTTAATAGTTTAAAGATCAATAATCTATTGATAAAGATCAATTATCTATTGATGAAGATTTGACTAAAACATGGTCCAGTAGAGTTAAGAAACATAGGTACGATGGTATAACACGTAACATTGATAACAGATATTTGTATTTTATGTTGCATGCTGAGCACTTTGGTTGCTTTAAATACTGAAATATCATCGGCATGATCAACAGATAAATACATTGAGCTTGCTAATATTACTCTACCAGAGCTTGCATATTCGGCCAAATTTGTTGAAAAGTAGATTTTGCAGGTTAAATAAAAGTTTCAAAATTCTAAAAAAAAATAATATGCTTTCAATATCTGATGAAACTATGAACTAAAATAGTCTGTGGTGGCATTATACTGGTATGATTTGTATGAATATCACCAACATCACCTTCACTGGCAGCTGTGAACATATATCTTTGATGACCTCTCTTTGCTTGATGTTGTGCTGTACAGCTAACTTTCTTCCCTGGTGTACTTTTATTGTGACTCGTAAAGTTTCACATACAGATTGTGCAAGTGTTTAAAGTTAACACATTTAGATTACATTAGTTATTGAAACAAAGTAGACCAAAGTCTGCTGTCATAGACAGAAATTGTTAAATGATTGAAATTAAGCCTAATTATCTGACATAATATATCAGAAGATATTTCAAATTCAGATTTATACAGACAATCAGGATTTACTGCTAATTTCACTTGAGCAATTACTATTTCACAATTTTCTCCAGCTTGTACTTTGCCATAGGAAGAAAGCTAACTCTGATGAGGTGATCATAGAGCAGAAGTAGGACCTTAAAGGTGTCTGCTGCAACATATAGCCATGTTTGATGTTGTATTCGTTGTATTACGGAAGCTTTGCATGCATTTTCATCTTGTGGTTTTGCTAATTATTGGAGTATTATTTAGTTCTGTGTTGTATCTATTTTGCTTTCAGTTAAACCTCGTAGTAGTGTTGTGCACCCATCAGCCTTTCCTTCGACAGCATCTAATCCATACGCAACTGTTGACCTAACTCAAACTCCGACTCTCAGACAGCGTCTCATGGAACCTCCCAGGTTATCTCCCTTACAAGCCTCTCCATCCCTTCTTCCTGTAGGTGGTGCACCAACAGCGGGGAAGAACAGTGCAATATCATCGTCCACATCTATGTTGTTGTCATCCAAAATACAAGCTAATCAACAAGCCACACCACCTGTACAGCAGAGAACGCCTACCAGGCCTTCTCAACAATTGAAACAGATCCAACCAGCTCCTTCTCCTCATCAGTCACCATCAATAACAGTTACTAGTAATCACTCATCCACCCCAGTTATCTCATCTTCATCCACCCTGCCATCGTTGGGCAATGCCCAGGTCATTCAGTCTCGCAATGTGTCAGCACCACAACAGCAAATTCAACCACAGCAGGTAATGGCTACTGGAGGACAGAATCTTCCTGTATTTGTTATACAACAGGTCTGTCAGTCAGATCCTACACAACAAGGCAACTTCCCTGTATTTGTACAAGAGCCGCAACAAAAGTCTACAGAAACTCGCATGATAAAAACTCTTTTGGCTAAAAAGCTACGACACAACCAGTCGGGGCCAGTGCCCATATGTCCAAAGATGGACCCCAGTAACCCGATGCAGCTGCTGACCTTCACAACCCAGCAGAGCAATGTTATTCAGGAGCAGCTGCAGCATCCCTACATGATGAGCAGTCAAGGAACCACTACTGTTCTGCCACAGTTTGACCAGCTTGGTCAGCTACAAGGCCAGGTACAGGTCAGCGTGGACAGTCCGCAGTCCAACCAGTCTCAGTCATCACCCTCCTCTGGAAGCATGTGTATTGTCCAGTCTAGTCAGATGGGAATCAGTAACCCTACCTCCCAACAACAGGTGGTCACTTCCCATCAATCACGGCCAGTGAAATCAGATCGTACAGCAAAGAAGAATGGCAATAGCCCAAGTTGCACACAATCACCTAGTACAAATTCATCTCGATCATCCTCACCAAAGAATTTCTCCCCCAAACCGCAAGTCACACCATCCCTTGGCCAGGCTCTGCCCTCCTCCAACCCAGAGTCTCCTCATCCCATGGATGGGGACCTGGAGGTGTGTGGGGAAGTTGAACGCGCCAAGGATGTGGTCACTGTTGGACAGGAGGCCATGATAGAACGTATTGAAAACAAGTGTCTCGACCGCATCAAGAGCATGCATAAAACAGTAACCACAACCCCTCAACCGTCCATCCAACATGCCCACATGGAATCTGGCCCCATGATAGTCCCTAATACTGCTGTCAACACTAATTCAGTGTCCAGTAGCAATGACCAGGTACTGGATACAGGTCAAAGAAGGAATAATATGCTTAGTGACACAGGTCAAATCATTTCCAGTGTCCAAAGTCAGGACCAAGTTGTGAACCCACCTACATTGAATGCCAGTGAATGTAGTGGTAACCCGATCTCGGCCATGGTTTTGCCTGCTGGGCCAGAATCTACCATGGCTTCTGCTACAGTAGAAAATCAAATTCGTGAACAAACTTTATTTCATCAGAACCACAATGTGCTGCAAGAACCACAGAACAATTTCTCGGGCATTTTACAGAGTGAGAAACTGAATGGTGATATTGGAGATTCAGAGGATAGTATGTCATCTGACATTAACAATACTAACAACAACCACACAACAGAGGGAAACCTAGACAGAACTACTGCAATCTCATCTATTGCCAAAGACTGCACTAGTGAAGATGATAATGTGTCACAGCTGGAGAGTGTGTCAGACATGTCAGAAACAGCTAGGGCAGCTTTAAACCTAGAGGCAAGCTACAATGACATGGAGGTGAACAGCATTGATGATTGTGTAGGAGAAGGAGTGGAGGACAACTTCCTCTGTGATGAGGAGGCAATAGAGAAATACAATAATATGGATGACCATTCAGAACAGATCTTGGAGAATGGAGGTAGAGAATCTCTTCTGGAGAGAGAGGATGGTATCCTCACTCACCCTCCTCAAAATGAGGACAGTAATCTGAAAGACCTTCCTTCGAAGGAGGAAAGTGTGGTAAAGGACAAAGTTGTGGAGGAAGTGTCAGCTGTGAATGGTATCCCAGAATATCAGGAGGAAATCATCCCTTCTCCAACTCCTGAACCTGTTCTTACTAATGGTCTGGATTCTGAAGACAGTTGCTCTGGCATCAAAGAGGACATTCAGAGCTCTGTAGAGCTAAAGGAATGCATGAACAAACTTAGTGAAAAAGTCATGCCAAAAATGAATGGCATTATGGTGAATCATGTTACCAATGGTGAGGTGGACCCGTATGAAGGCCACAGTAATGGCATTGATTATGAGCTGAGCAATGATGGGTTAATGGGTATCGGACAAGAGAACGGACAAATGGAAGAGTCAGCGGACAATGAGGATGTGAAGCATGTTGTCATTCATACAGGTGAAGGTGACCATGTGGTCATCAACTCACAAGGTTGTTTAGAAATCAATGGTAAAGTAACCAATGTAGAAAATCTACCAACGACAACTGTAACAAACTCAACGGAAGATGAGGACTCGGAGCAAGTCCTGGCTATAAAGAGCATCCTTGAAGAGGCTAGTGAAGAGGAAGAGGATGAGTACAACAACATTGGTGAACAGACTGCTTGTTTCAATCTGACAGGGGAAGGGGAGACAATGGAGACTGGAGAAAATAGTGCTTCTCGTGAACCAGCAGGGGATCCTGATGAAGTTATCATAGAAAATGAAATGTGTTTGAAACCATTAGGTCAGTCAGGCCAGTCACAGACCCCTGATGAAGTTACGGAAGTTCCAATGGAAGAGACTGCAAATGACCAATGTCCGGACCAGAATCAGGGTACTAATCCAGTTTTGATTCTAGAGCAGGACAGCTGTTCCCAGCCAGAAATTCCCATGAATGAGGACTCAACTGACAGTTTACCTGTGTTACCACAGACTAGTGAGGATAACAAAATAGACATTGTGGAGGCTGCTGTGGCCTCATGTGATCTGAAGCCCCAGGATGGTATGGACGATATTCCTTGTGCTAATACCATGACTGTGGGTAGTATTGTACAGGTGATGCCTATCAGTATAGGGGACATGCCATTAGGACAGCCACTGTTGGGCCAGCCCATTATGGGCCAACCCCTGTTAGGGCAGCCTCTTGTAGGCCAGCCAGCGTTGGCCAGACTGCCCTTTCCTACTATCATGGATATTAATGTTGGAAGTATTTCCAATGACAATACATTTAAGATCAGCACAAGTGGTGTAAAAGTGGAAACAAGTGGTAACAACATCATCTACAGTCGTCCCAGTGGTCAGTTAGACTTGACTGGTGGGCAGTTTGTAGTGTACGAGGATGACAAGTCTCGAACATCTTCAGTACAGGTGACAGATGTGTGCAACTCGCGGCATGTTCCTACTCCAGAGGCTTCCCGTGACAGTGAACTCAGCTGTGATAGTGTTGCATCATCCCTAACAGACTCCTCCACAGACAAACATTCCATGATCACTGCCGTTCAGGGCATACATATGGCAGTGGCTGCCACCACCAACTCCATCAAAAGTGCTACCACCCCCATCCTCGCCTCCACCTCATCTACACCAACCACAGGCGCCAAAAAATCCAGTCATACCTCCCGCTCAAAGTCAGGTGAAAAACGACCTAAGAAACGCAACAGAAATGCATCAGGTAGTGCTGATTCACGGGGGTCATCTGCTTCATCCACCACCAACACCAGCCCACCCAGTCCAGAGTTCGTTTGTGAATGGGCCAACTGTAAACGGTAAGTCATTGATTTTTCTTTTCTTTCTTTTTAACAATTATTTATCAATAAGTATCATAGAAAGTTGAAGTCAAAGAAAAAGATTACATCTTGAAAAGACTTCAGATAAAAAATTCACATTTTATCCATCTACATGGTACAACAGCACTGATAGATATTTGCTGGAGTATGATAAACATATACCAGATATGAATGCTGATGAAAGTAAAATAGTTTGATGGTAGTTTTACAATGCAGATTGACATTAAGATACAAAAATATCACGACATGATGAGTGATTGGACAAACACCTTGATATGTTGTAGATGTTTTGAGAACTCCCGGAGTGTGTTTGCTCATGTTTGCTCCACACATCTAGTGAGAGATGTAGATGGAGTGTGTCTATGGGAAGGTTGTGAAAGGCTCCAAAGGAAGAGATGGTCACTGTACACACACATACAGGTAATTATATCAGGGTTTGGCCTATAAAGGAGTTCTTTTGATGGTTATCTACTACTGAGTAATGATATTCTACCATTGATTAATGAGATGAAGAAATTTGGTTGTTGAACATTGCGCTCAAAAAGACCATTTTTGAAATAAGTAACTTGTGCATTTTATCTAGCAATGATAAAGGAGGGGCAGTGAGACTGAGATGTTATGTGGTTTTGGTTAGCATAGCATTCACAAGGTCAAGAAGTTGCCTTAAAGGGTATCAATGCTACATTCGTACACATCTGGCTTATTTGGATGATTAATCTAGTATATGACACATAAAAAGGGATTTGGAGAAGTGGCAATAAGTCTTTCAAAAATGCTTTCTGTCTTGGTGAATGCCCTAGGCTGCCAAAACAGAAATGTGAATTTTTATGCATTCAAACAAACTGTTATATATTAAGGTGGTAAAATGGGATATTATACAGAGAGTACATTTAATATAAGTGGGAAAATCTGATTAAAAAAATGTTTTGAAAAATTTATTTATAGTATCAAAAAAACTTTTCTTATAACTGTGAGAAATTCCTATTTCAATAAGTGTGGGAAAAATCAATTAAATGAATAAATTGGAAAATCAATTCTATGCAAGTGAGGTTAAATATTTTTACTGATAAACAAGTGTGGTTATACCTATACTGATAGTGTGGGTATACCTGTACTGATAGTGTGGGTATACCTATACTGATAGTGTGGGTATACCTGTACTGATAGTGTGGGTATACCTATACTGATAGTGTGGGTATACCTGTACTGATAGTGTGGGTATACCTGTACTGATAGGGATGAGTTCAAAAGGGGTCAGATTGGAAGATTGTTACATTTCGAAACAAGTTCCAGTGTTGGATGTGTTTGTCAATGCAGAGATGTTTAATCATTGATAAATCAGTATTTGCTCCTTGTATTAAAGTGACCTTGACTTGACAGAACAATAAACCCAACAAACAGTGAAAGTTAAACAGTGCATGAAAGTAAGACTCTGCAGCAGGTTAAAGCAATGAGTAGATTAGAATATGTTCACTGAACAAGGAGTAGATTAGAATATGTTCACTGAACAAGGAGTAGATTAGAATATGTTCACTGAACAAGGAGTAGATTAGAATTTGTTCACTGAACAAGGAGTAGATTAGAATTTGTTCAATGTTGATTGAATTATCGCTGTGTTGCAGGATCATCACTGTTCTGACCTTGCATTAAAGGCAGCTAAGTTGCGGCGACATCAGGCCCAAAATGCAGGCACCACCAGCACAAAACCTCACACTGTACCAGCTCTGGTCTACCCGGGGGATGCCGCTTGGCAAGCCATACGCCGCTTCACACCTAAACCGCCCTATCCCGAATTTGTGGTGAGTCAAAAATCCAATCATGTTTTAGACTTCTCACATACTGCTCACCTGAAGAAAATGTTATGTGATAATTGTTTGTTAAAGGGGCTACTTTTCAGTCAATCATAATTTATTAGAAATAACCTTGCATAGTTAAACAAGATAATATGGGAAATTAAATGTTAGTGATTATGATGAATTTACACTTGTGACAATGAATTGAAAGGTACGTTATGAGTTTTACTTTGTTGGTGGTTCCAACACCGCAATGATATGAAGAAATACATCGCAATTTTTTTACTGGGTCGACAAACAAAATCTTTATTAATTTGATTTTGGAAAATCGAGGTCTTGCAAATTATGGGTAGTTGTACACCTGTTAGAACTAACTTAGGAAAAATGAATCGTTCAGTTTTAATATTAAGATATCATACCATGAGACATTCTGTTATCTTGAGATGAGTGTTTGATTGTATTTGCAGGAACAAAGAGAAGGTCCAGTCACCAAACATATAAGACTTACCGCAGCTTTAGTACTCAGGAATCTAGCCCGATACTCTTCCCTAGGAAGGAGGTCAGTAAGCAGCGCTGATAGCACACATTTTTGTCTCCCACCTTTACAATTTTTTATCACTTCCCATATTGAATTGTATCTTCTGAATGTAGGAACTCCTATAATTTAAATTTCTCTTTTCACAACTGGCCCTAAATGGATGGTCAAGCGGTGAAGTGGTAAAGCTTTGCCTTTCACCTAAGTGTCCAGGGTTCGATTCTCAAACAAACCAGAAAAGGTACGGGGTCACAAGCTTGACCATGCTGGTTTTCCTCGGGTCAGATTTCTCCCATAGTAAGATCCCTCGCATGATTCAGACCAACAGGAGTTATATATATATAGTAGGAATAACTTGATTTTCAATGGTTGTAAGATATATAAAATTTGATTTTGAAAACTGGTCCTATGCACTTCTATGTATGATTATAAACCAGTTTCAATAGAATCAAAATGACACCTGATTAATTCATGAAAATATTTTATTTTGTACATGCCACAAAATTACTGAATTTTCTTAAGACCACAAGACAAATGCACATATCAATTAATAAATTATCTTACACAATATTATCAATTGCAATGAATGAATGACTGCACTATAAGATTTAAAGTTTTCATCATGAAAGAATGAATTTATATAATGACGCCTGACATTTGCATGAGAATATAATTTTAGTATCAAAAATGCAATAAATAAAGTAGTGCCAAGTGAAATTATCAAAATTATTCTGTCATGTGTTTATTGTAAACTAACAAATGCTGTTCTGATTACAGTTTAATCAAGAAGCATGAGCGCCACATCAACTACACGGCAATGAGTGCCCTGGAATCCTCCAATGCTCTAGCCAACTGCCTTTGGGAGACCATCCAACAGCACTGACACATGTCTTGTTGTTCACATCATTTTCATCACAGAACAAACATCCCACAAACTTGCAGCTTAATGTGTGTTCACCCACACAGTCGTTAGTTGTGTTAGGATGATCAGCAGCCATCCTTCAGTTGTCATCAGCCATCCTTATCTCGCTGTCCAATGTATCAAAGCTACCCACTCGCTGCTCACACATTGCCAGTGATAATTTGTTGTGTATTTGTGTCGTAACTGGCACAACAGACTTCTCATTGTTCATAATGGCTGTATACAATGTGTTCATTTATGTATGTCTGTGAGATACCAGGTGATCCAGTTATTAATTATTGTATAAATGTTTCCATATGTTGTCCATGTGCTGAGAGGATTATATGTTACAGAAATGAAAGTCCAACAGAGATAAATGTATTTAATATATTGTTAAAACTGGGGAGTATGATGAATCTATTTTTCTTACGTGTGGCTAGCTTGTATTAATTCATTTTCTTTTTTTTCCGCATATTTAATTAACTTTGTCGTTTAAAGAAAAGAAAATATATGATTACTATACTGGAGGGTTCATTCCTTTGAGCTGTAAAGTTTAATTTATGTTTAGATATAGTTTCAATGAAATATTTGTTTTGTAGATGAAACATTTAAAATCTCACTTGGTATCAAATCTTTATTTATGAAGCAATTACATTTACATTTTTTCTCACAAAGTTCATGTCATTAAACATGTAGTACGTTTTTTCAATTTCACAACCAAAAGAATGTGTCATTGTTTCAAATATAAGTTTTAAATAAAAATCTTTCTGTATCTGTTGCTTTCCGTCACTATTTTGTTCCTTGCTCAGATCTTAAAGAAATCAGTTACATCAGAATTCTTACAGGTTCCAAAGCTACAAATCAAAGTTTCAAATTAAAATGTTTCTCAAACCTGATGATTACTGTTTGTGTCTCTGTTGAATTATCAGCAAGTATGGTCTGTTGTTTTTCATTTCTAACAACGTAAACAAAAAACTAGGGTAAAATTTCTGAATTGTTACAAGGATATGAAAAAAAAATCAAACTACCCGGTATACATGGACAAGATTGAATTTGATTTGGGGTTGGCAGATAAATGAACCTGCCATCATCACTCATGAATGACCAGGTAGTTATCGGCCATGAAAGTGTCCATTAAAACTGTTTAAGAATGAGAATAGGTAATTGGGCTCATGTTTCAGTATATGCTGTAAATTTCTAGGTCAATTATTTGTTGTGCATTACTGAATTTTGTTCCTAAATCTTTACACCTATAAGCTGTTTTTGTGACCCAAGATCTCTGAATACACTGAGTTTTTTTTTTTTTTTCAAATTAAAGAGAAATGTGTCTTTGCTATAAATCAGCAATCCAATGTCTTCATACCTAAAGTACAAGTTAAATTCTTCTCTTGGATGTAATTTCTCATCAATGTAGTATTTCTTTTAAAATTTACACTGATGAATTTATTGTAAAAGGTTGATGTGTGTCATTTATGTTGTCAAATCCATTCCCAAAGGGCAGCTTATTGCAAGTAGTCAAAGATGAATACTATAAAAGTTCTGTGATAGTTTTTGACCTTTGTGCACAACAAAATATTTCTGTCTTTAAATTCAGCCCAAACTTGGTACATGATTGCAACATCCTTACATGCTGTTCTACCACAGTTACTTGAATACATGGGTGAGTGATTCAGCTTTCTTATTCCATTGTTAGGGATTCATTCAATAAAACATCTTTTATGAAAAGAAAGTATGAATATCAAATAAAGGAAAGGTATATATTTGTGATCAGAGACATATGTTGTCATATTTAGGAATCTGGTCTTATACAGGGGATATTTATAGGTGTTCAATGAATATGATATAAGAGGAAGACAGGATTTTCTTTGTTTTTAAATATTTATTATAAAATGGGTCAAAACAGACAAGAATTGATGTATTACTTTGACTGGTTGGTGTCTTAACAATACACCAGTATCTACAGTAACTAGAAGATAAGTAATTTTCACTAGAACCAGAATGTAACATGGATATATCACTTACATTATGAGATGCAGATAAAACATGTAGCACATTATTTAACACTGGCATTAAATATTTCTGTAACAAAACCAAGTAAGTAAATCCTATCATTAAGTGCACTGTAGACCAATTAGTAGGAAAAGCCAAAATAGACAAAAGTAATTGCGACTGGCAGAACTGGGGAGGGGGGAAAACATCAGTAGGGTATAGGTAGTCTCTAATCAACTGCTAGCAAGTGTAAGGAACGACAACTCTGGATAGGGGGCAAGGGCTGGGTGCTATTAAAAAAATAAAAACAATCCAGACCTGGATTGTATATTGATAGTTTCAGCTTTCATTCATAACCAATATAAACTTCACTCTTTCGATACTACCTTTCTGAGAACGAGAATTATTATACATGTACAAAACAAAATGGGGGCTTAATGGAACAAGGCAAAGAAGCAAGAGCTACTGGTCAGATCTGTTCGCCAAACACGTTAATCTGTCTTATCAAGGGAAAAATTGTAGAAAGCTGGGGTCAAATACAGCATTATATCGTCTGCTGATACAATACTTCACCACGGCACCTCTTTCTGGTACTCAAAATAACAAGGGAGAATAGAGAAGGCAGGACTTGCCGTGGAGACCCATGTAACCCAGCAACAATGATAGTGTAGCCTTTCTTCTATGTATCAGTATAGCATTTTAGACACTGGAAACCTTAATGAATCTGACGGATGTTACTTGATGAAAATTGAAGTACCAAACCGAGACCACCAGATAGTATTGTATTTTGTTCATAGCAACCTTTAAACATCTTAATGTGTAGTTCTAAATGAACGAAATCAGAGATAAACTAGAAACCGTTCCATAAAATCACCACGTAGTATACAATGGAGATAATAGGACTGAGTTAATCATGGGAAATCACATGTAGAAATTGATAATTTTTTACAAAGTCCAATTCCTTAATGACACGTCTTTTTGGAACTGTAGACATTGTAAGTTTGCTTCGAGTCCAATACTTGATGTTCAAGTCTGATGCAGCATATACGCCAGTCATCTGAACAAAAACTGAAAGCAACATGAAGTTCCTCTTACTAAGCATCATATACCATGTGAGAGAAAAGGCCATTGACGTGTTTGAAAATATACTGTGCGCTTGACTTTTTTCAAAATTTACATCTTGTTTTACTAAGCGTCATATACCACGTGAGTGAAAAGGCCATTGACGTGTTTGAAAATATACTGTGCGCTTGACTTTTTTCAAAATTTACATCTTGTTTTACTAAGCGTCATATACCACGTGAGTGAAAAGGCCATTGACGTGTTTGAAAATATACTGTGCGCTTGACTTTTTTCAAAATTTACATCTTGTTTCCTACATCTTACGTAAAGATTCGAAATAATCCTTGGCAAAAGTCACTATTAGTCCAATCTTAATTGAAATGGGCAACCGATTTGGACGGACTATGTGCCCGACAGCGGAGATACAGCGCAGCTGCAGCTTGTGGTCAGTTGAATCCAGTTCCAATCGAATTCCGCCGTAGGTGAGAGTCGTACCAGGGCCATTACAAATGACTTCTTAGGCAGGCAACGGGAAGCGTACCTGCAGAAAAAAATAGCTATTAAAATCCTCGGACAATATGAACAAAGGACAACGACTCTTTAATGTTGAGCATAAGGTACAGTTTCAGATTTGGCTTCAAGTTAAGGTCATTCGCCGGATAAAAGCGGACACATTGACGTGGATCAGTTCGGACAAACAGCACGTGAAATGTTAAGAAATAATTACTTTACGGTTACGTAAAGGAAGCAAACATCATTCAAATGACTACCGTCTTCATAGGATCTTACAGGCGGTACGTAAATCATGAACAAACACACTGCGTTACCGGTCACGTGAACACCGTCTCCATAAGATCTTACGGGGAACGGAAATCATGACGAAACAGACGACGTTACCGCTCACGTGAACACCGTCTCCATAAGATCTTACGGGGAACGGAAATCATGACGAAACAGACGACGTTACCGCTCACGTGAACACGCCTTCATATGACCTTACTGAGGACGTGAAACACACCCAGTCACCACTTACGTGGACACTGTCTTCATACGACCTTTCAGGTGCCCAAACCCCGGAGAAACTTACGTGGAAACAGTCTTCTTTTGACCTTACGTGGACATAATTCCTAAACAAGCTCACGTGCACTTGATTGAAACTATTTTTAGAATTACTTTTAGTTTCTATTATAATCAAGATCGCTATGTTTGACGTGGAGAATATATAAACTTTCTATTTTAGAGTCACGATTGCGCATTTCTACAAAAATAGTACTGTTTTCAGCACATGGTGTAATAAAAAGTATTTTGCCGACTTGCTTAGCAGACCCGTAAAACTGTTTTTAGACATGAATCTCCGTAAAACCTGAAGCTGTTATGTAATGTATGATACTGAAAAAGTAGACTTTATTATCAAAGTTCTTGTTTACGAAAGTGGAAGTGAAAAGCTAGTAGTGGCGGAGTGTCCACGTCCTGTGACTTATGAGCAGTTGGGTCCAGCACCGACAAGTCAATGACGAGAGCGCTCGTCATCATTCGACAAGTTCCTCAGTATGTCTCAGCACATGACGTCAGCGTTAACAAGTCCATTTTAGGCTCGGCGAGATAAAGTGTTGGGTTTAATAACAACAACGAGTTGGCTGCTACATTTGTCACGAACAAGCTTTGCTGTGCAACTTCGGGAAGAAATACATCAAACAGGAAGCTCAAATTGACCCTGAAGACCATGGTTTGGCATTTGTTTGACCGTGGTGTGTTGGGTAACAATGAATGATGCACTGTACAGTTTGAATGCTTTAATCAAAATTTGCAAAGAAAGGAATATATTTGAAAGGCCATGGCTTGTTACGATCACACAGGTTACTGTGACAAAGTAGGGCGTGGGTGGATGAAAGATGGCTACCATTACCACAACGACAACGTGGTGACACTGGTTCTCATCTGTTCAGAAATGTCGGAGAGGTCTAAATAAACAAAAGCCTTAACATTTTTTGGTCCAGGTCATAAATAATTTCAAGTAAAATAAACCCAATGCTGACTTCCAACAATCAATCTTCAGCTAGTATCAGCCTTAATAGTTTCAGATATAACACTTCATTCGATTGGCCAATCAAAAGAATTCATGACAGTATCATCACAATGGGCGCACACTGCTCGTTTGCATATGAAGCCCGAATGACGGAAGTTTATGACGTCAATGACCTGAACACGTCATAATAGGTCAATTCCGTTCTTTGTCGTGGAAAATCACGTTTGATAAAGTAAACATGTGGTCCTAACTTTGCATAGAAAATCATTAATATACCGTCGCGAAGATTCGTTTATTACAAAACGCTGACGCATATTTTAAAATATGAAATATATTTATTTATTCTCTTTTGACAAGCGTTGTACAATTCATATTTCAATCGGGACGTCCGGTCTTTTGATGAACTGTTAGGTTGTCGTGATATCTCATCTCAGGGCTAACGTATGATAATAAATCAAATATCATTCTAAAAACTCATTATTGATAATCATCAATTTTGAAGTGATACCACTTGACCTGCGCGTCAGAAGCAGCATTGGACCCATTTGTCTGAATCCGTACGCTACTCATTTTATGATGATTTCGTAATATATCCCCTATAGAAATTAAATAATTGGTTCCGTGTCCCATCCCCTATAGAATTAAATA